CCCTTTATATTTCTTACCGCAGCTACACGGGATAGTGTACACACAGTCTTTAGTCATGTTCTCCTCTATGGGGTTGGGGTGGGGAGTTACTCGGGAGAGATATCTGCGAAGTGTCGTCAAGCTTTTGAAGGTTGTCCTGATGTTATATGGACCACAGATCCTTTGTATTTTCTCTGATAACCACTTCACATAAGGCAGACAGACCGTTTTCTGTGTGTTGTTGTCCTCCTCTTGTACCCTGGATGTTCTAATGTCTCAAACAGAGCATGGGTTCAAGACATCCGTATACCGTAAACCAACATTCACCGGACAGTACCTCAATTTCAACTCCCACCATCTATACAGCATAAAGAAAGGGATTGTCTGCTGCTTACAACACCAAGCAAAAGTCATAAGTGGTGACCCCAAGAGACATTAGATAAAGAATTGGTCAGTATAAGTAGTACCCTACAACGTAACAACTATCCTGGGTACATGACAACAGCCCCAAAAAACTGGGATAGGCGGGTACAAGAGAATGTTGGTAGATTTAGATAATTTTAGCTCTTGGTAGGAGAGGTTTATTTTGGATTGTGTTAGATTCTTCTTGAAAATATTTAAGCATTTGTTAACAGAGACATAGGTATAAAGGGATTTAACATCTAAACTAGCCAAGAGTTTATCATATTTATTCTCTTTAGTAAGTAATTACAATTTTATGAGGTATTTATTTTTGAATGAAATGTAGATATATGCTTTGTAAGAATCTCATCAACATATTTTGTTAAAACATCTAAAGTTTTTAATTTTTTATTTATCATTGTTTAAACAGTGAATTATTTTTTCCATTTATTAACTCAAGTATTACAGTTCAGTAAAGAAGCAACAATGCTTGCTACAAATATATCTCAGAAATGAAGAAGCAAAAGATCAATGGTTGTAAATCAACAGAATGATGTTCACATGATTGTTGTTTAATGATTAATGAAATCTATCACAAAAGACCGTCAATAGTTTACTGTGAACATTCGCTTTCACTGAAGAAGATATTTGAAAAGTGGTTGGAAAAATTACATCTATTTATATTTTGAATAGTACATCCATATTCATGTAATTAATATGTTTACTGCTACACAACAGTCAACATCAACTGCTGACACAAACGTCTGATCATTCCATGGTAAATTTTAAAATTTATTGACATTTTTCATCAGCAGATTTACTGTCACACTTAACAATTTTATTGTAATATGACACACATATTGAAATTCTGGTGTGACATATTTATGAATTTGATGACCATGTCAGTCCATTCTGTAGGTTTTTGACGAGAGGATGGCTGAAAAATTAAAAAAAAAAGACATCTGGTGTTGAGAATTTGCTCCGTTTCTATTTGCCTTCCCTCCTCTTTTACATCTGTTTAGCAAGAGAGAAAGATGCTTAAATGATGTCTTTTGACGACATTATTATGTCTTGTATGGATTTTGATTTCTTCAGAGACAATATACCTGATGTTGAGAATTTGTAGTGATTTCAAGATTTAATAGTGATTACTGAATGAAAAATATATTGCACATGATTTCATTCAGTACACACATGAAAAAATGACTTTTTGATTCAACAAACATGCAACTAAGTCAAAGGGACTGAATTTATCTGTGTGACAATCGTGTTTGAGTGAAAACAAACCTGGAAGTTAGCAGTACATTTAGATTTCAATATCTTCCCTCCAAATTTTGATTTTGTATAATTGAATTCCTTGTTGTTCTTCATTTTGTTAATATTTCACTCTTCAGTTTTTATCAAGTCTTTAAGATGAAAGGAAAAAATCATTTCTACAGAAAATGTTGGTAAAAATCTTTTTGTCTACATATTAACCACATTAGTAAGCATTTATTACATGAATAAATACTTTTTTCTTTTTTCTAACAGAGTCTTTAACATGAAAATGGCTGAAGAATAGATTGGTTGAAACATAACCATGGCAAGAAAATATAGTAATGTTCAAAGAAAATTTGAATATTAATGTATTTCCTCAAAGCTTTAGAATTAATGAAATTATGTAGAAATCATTTTTAACCACGGTAGGAAAATAAATCTTAAAAATCAGGATAAAGAAATAAAAAAACTTATAGTAATTTGAAAGGTAAAACCTGTTTGCAGTAAATCTCATATTTGAGGCTTTATATACTTGGACAGTATTTAGTTTGTTGCATTAACAAAACACCCAAATGTTTTCTCCTCAAGGAAAAAATATCATAACTTCTAGCTGTCTAATATTCACATATTCAAATTTTTTTAGAGAAGGACTTGTAATTTTCTTGTAGACAATAGAAATTGATAGTATCTGAGATCAGAAAATAATACTATATATCATCTTTGATAATATAGCTTAAAGATTTGTTAGCTAGTTTATTTTTGAAACAGTTTCCTACAAGATTACTACATATTTTATCTACCTAGAAAAGATTTCCTTTGTTTGATCATGAAAAATATTAATAATAATGTACTGTAGCCTCTTTTCATTTGAGACAGCATTTGTTGCAGCATTTTGGTTTTCACTAGGACTGACCATACAGTGTTCCTTTTTAATAAATGTTATTAGCACTTAACAGATCCTTGCTTGCTTTTCTGAATGTAGGAGTAGAGGAAGGCCTGATGGTATTTTCTCACAGAAACTTGTTTCTAATGCAACATTTGTTTAATTTGTGTAATAATTCAGCAGAGGAACATCAACAGTTGTTTTCTTTTTGCCTAAATTCAATATCTTTCCAGAATTTGTTCCAAAGTTACCATCTTCTAACAATCCCTTTCCAAGAGCTGCAGTTTGCAAATTATGCAACCTAATTAAAGTAGATTAGATTATAATTGCATGGACTAGTTTCTTGTCAGAAAAATAAACAGTACTTTTTGCTGAGACAATAAATTTGAAATCGAACACAATATTTTTAATGACTTATAGGGGACATGTAATCATTTAACTCCATTTGCATCTAAACACAATCCATATTTAGAAGGTTATAAAAAGAATCTAAAACTGAAGTTGGTCTTAAATAATGGGTTTACATAAATATACAATAAAAAATGGAAGACTGTTCTGTCCTTTCTAGCTGAGTCCATATTGAACAATCAAATAATTTGAATAAATATTTAACAGGTTTACAAAAAGGGATAAATGAGTACATGAGGGATACGGAAAAGAATAAATAAAAAAAATATAAATATATGTTCTGATTTGCCTCTATTTTTCTTTTTTTACTTCACTATTTGCCACCATTAACAGCAACCAGTTCCTTCCCAACTTAACTGTTTTACAGAAGTGAGTATTTGAATTTATAATTGATATCTTGGAAAAGATTAAGAAACTCATTTTACAAAGAAAGCAATAAATCTGAAAATAGAATAATAAGTACAAACAAATATTCTAACAAGTAATTAATTCTTGGTCATAAAGAGGTTAGTGTCATGGCTCACTTATTAACAGATTTTTTGCTGACTCAATTTGAATTAAAATACAGAAACATATGTAAAGATCTTGAGAAAGTTTTTGTTCACACATACACACAGAATTGTTAATGTAGTAAATTCTATTGATATGATCTTCCCCATTGCTTGTATGAATAACCCCTATTGACTTTTATATACGCATTTGAAATAAAAGGTGATTGAATTAAGAAACTAAGGAAAGATCAACTGAGCATTTTTTTTATTGCGTCCAACTGAAGCAAGACAGTAAAGCCACTAAGACACAAGGGGTTATTGGGTGAGAAAGAATTAGAAACAGAAACATTACTAATGAGCAGGAGCGAAAAGAGTAATCAGAAGGACAGGAGATAGCAATTGAGATTACATTTAAATTTTTGAAGATTAATGTTGGCTGGAAAACATGGAACCGGAAAGGAATTCCACAAGTGAGAAATGTGAGAAAATAAACTATTAGCATAGAATTTACAGTTACATCTAGCCAACTCAACTGTAAATTGATGGGATCTTGACACCAGTCTAGTACTGCACTTAAATTCAAAAAGTCTAGGTACCATAGTGAAGAGCTCATCTGAACAATTACCATGAAAGTATTTATAGAAAAAGCACAGGAAGACACAGGTCATGGGAAAGTGAATGAAACTGAGCTGCCAAGTCAGGACCAATATTATAGAAGATTTTTCTTTGGAGTTTATGAAAGAGCTCTAGATAAATACATACTTAAAATATTGCTGCCCATATGTGGCAGCAATATTTTAAGTATGGATGAATGGTAGACATAGATATGTAGGATAGAGATTGGAGAGAAAAATTATCTTCCAGGATACAGTGAACCAACTTTCTTAGCGGCTGATTAAGCAATGGATTCAATATAGTCTTTCTACCTCAAGTCAGCTGAGAATGTTAGGCTGAGAAGGTGCAACAAGTCACTTTCCTGGAAGTTAGCATCAGCCATACTGAAGGATTAATGGAGAGCAGTTTAGTTTTGGGGGTGGTAAAATTAACAAGCCATCTTTTGCCCCAGTTAACAGAATGATGTTTGTTTTGAATATTGTCTGCCATTTTGACCTTTTCGAACTGATCTGACTTACAATCGAGACGTGAGTAAATGGTTGTGTCATCAGCACAGATAGCAAGTTGAGAGCTGATATCATTGGGAAGGTCATTAATATGAAACGATCTAGCTGAGTGGTCATTCTGGATAACTTTCATTTTATGATTTGATAGGAAAGACTGGATCAGTTCAAAAATTTGTCTGGGGACACCATAACTTTTCATTTTGTGGAGAAGACCTGTATGCCAAACAGTTTTGAAAGCATTTGAAATGTCCAAATGTATAATCCGGGCTTCACCATTTTTATCATGATAGTTTCTTTTCGCAATTATTGACAATACATCAGCAGTGGTCTGGAGAAATGAAAGCCATATTGCTTGTCTGAGAAAAGGTCTTGTGATGAGAGAGCATAAATTGAAAGAACTTTACAATAATATTCAAAGTCACTGGGTAGAGAGATTAGAAATTGTTGTTCAAAAGTTATTTACTTACTTGCTTTCTTATTATTGAGTCCCAGCAGAGTTTCCATGCTCACATCCATTCTTGGGATGGTGAGGCAGCTGGAGGGTAGCATAATCTCCCGTAAACTGCCAAAATTACATTCTTCTGGCAAATGTTTATAGCAGGTGGCATGGGCCTAGCCAGGAAAGAAAAAATAAATTAATTTAATTCAAAAACAGTCTCTCTTCTATTACTGCTTCATCCCCAGTTCAAAGAGAGTTAACTTCTAATAAGCAAGAGACTTTAAAATGACACTTGACTAGGTTTTAAAACTTGATATCATGTTTATAGGAAAGACTTTATAGATTCAAAGAAATGACAAACATTTATATTATAGAGAACCAGAAATTGTTATTAATTAAAAATTACAAGAAGGTATACGGCCAATGAAAATATAAAACTAAAATAACTTTATTTAAACAAGACAATTGAAACTAGTCATTAATGAAAAAAAAAAAAAAGTATTGTGTCTTCTTAAAAGTTGTATAATTGAAAGAAAATGGAAGAAAGACTTACCGTGACCCCACACCATTCACACCGCATGCCTGCCAGGCACTCAGATGACCAACATGTCTTTTTACAGGAGACACATTTTGAGTTGGCTGGTAAGTTTCCCTCTCTCCAATGATGGAAATGGACAACAGTTAACTAAAGACAGAAACCAAAATGATTGTATAAACTGACAGGATTTCTAAAAATAGACATAATGTTAGAATATTATTGAAATATCAGAGACAAAGTCTTGTCAACATTTCTTACTAGTATTTTTCTTACATCTTAATTTCATTGTTTTTTAGTGTAAATCACTGACATGATGATGTCCAATCCACATTGTTTACTTAACAATCATCAAATGACAATCTGGGAAGTGAACTAAAATGTAAGAGAAATAGGAGTCAAAAATGAAGATGAGGTGCTGAAAAGATCACGTCTCACGATCTGACCAAATTAACAAACATCAGAATTTATTTTGCAATTCCATTTTGCTAAAGTGAGAAACTTTTCAGCACCTTCATATTTCAGGCCTAAATTTTTATTAATTCAAATACATATACATCAAAATTTAATAAATAATATTTCTTTTTTAATTCAAATTCATAAAGGCAGCTGTGGGTTGAAAATCATAGAATCATTTCTATATTTTCTAAATATAAGAAAGTGGGACAAGAATATTCAAATCTGTAGAGAATATCTATTTTAATCTTGACCTGGATAAGTACTTTGCAAAATAAAAAAACAAAACAAAGGGAATTCATTGGTTAGAAATTAAATTGATTGTGTACAGATTTTGAGTCAATTAATTTTCCTGGGTTGGGTTTCATTTAATTTATTAAAAGCTGATTCTGCCATCTTTCAGCCTTTGATCTTCTTGAAGGAATGCCAGTAATATTAAATAAATAATTGGTACAGTAGAAAAGAAATGAATGATAATCTATTCTGCAATCATTTTGATTTCCATTTCATAATCCAAGTGAAGAAAACAGAATTACAAAGTAAACCTTATTTTAAACTCAGACACAAATCCTGTTAGCAAACATTTTAAATCAATTTAATTTGGCTGATGACTTGATAGCAATAAACATATTCCTTCTAATTATTAAGATTTTACAGTTTCTTTCATCTTTTCTGTTGCTCAAATTATAAAAATCATATAAACATGTAGGATTTCAAGAAAATTACAAGTAAAATATTTAAAAAAATGGAAGACATTCATGTAGTATTTCTGAGAAATTTGCATATAAAAAATGTATTTCTGTAAATTTCTATAAGACTGAATAATATGCATATAGATTTCAGTGTGTAATCTAAGTAGAGTGAATGTTAAGTCAGAGTGTGTGTATTTATGTTTGTTCTCACTATTTTTTAGTTTCAACTTTGATTATATTAGTAATAAAGATTAAAACTATTTGTACAGAAAAGACAATGTTCTTATTTCTTTTCAAACAGAATCAAGTTAGTTTCAAATTGAAATACACAACCCAATTTGAAATACAGTCATTTTAATCATTGAGGAAGTGTATTGCAGTAAGCAAACAAAAGGGGTGTGGCAGAACTTCCCAATTGAAATCTAAGTTCATTACAGCAATAAAAAACTTGTTTGTCAAGCTTTTTTTGTATATCAGATTGATGAGCAGATACAACTTGCAGTGAACTTAATTCAGCCAACTTCTATAACCATTGTTGTGTTCAGTTTCTATTACTAGATTCCAATGCTTATTACTAGATTTGGTTTAAGTTTATAAGTGCTTATTATTATATTTGTTTCAATCTAGATTAGTTGTGATGTGCACCTAATGTTTTCAATATTCCTTTATATATGGTTTTCTATAAATTGAGTCTGTACAGAAAGTATAAGTGACATTGTCATAAATGAGATGTCTGTGTATATGTAAATGAACATGGCATGTTCATTTAATCTTTAATCTGCTGAATTTTGATAAAGTAAAATTTTAACAGGCTGCAAACAAGAAACTTTAGTTATTAAAATTATTAAAATGTTTCACAAACAAGAAAAAATTAAGTTCATTGATTCATTAAGGCTAAGTAAACAATTTATTTTATTTTTTTTTGTGAAGTGAATATACAAGTTCTTTTGGATATCTGTATGCCTTCCATACATTCTCTATAAATAAAGATTTAAATCTCTCTATATATAAATCTGACACACATTGAGATTATTGTTTTGACATTAGTTATTAAAATGTTTATGGCACCAGCTGCAAACTCTTAAAAAAATGAAGTTGGATTTATCATTTACTCAGGGAATCTACTTTACATAAAGAGCCGGATAAGTGACATTAGTTTCCACCTAAGGAACACATAAGCCAGTGGATAAAAGCTTAGGTTAAGCAGATTCAGTTACCTAGTCAGTTATGAGTTCAATCCCTGTTTTAGGTAGGGAGAAAAAGTTACATAGCGGCATTCAGTAAATGAGACAAGCAACATGAAAAGGATGAATCTAGAAAGAATTCTTGAGCATCAAAATTTATCTTTGTGGGTTGAATAAAAGGCTTGGTTTGAAACTTGTTGGAAGGTTACTAACTACAAAGAACTAAATGTGATGATAACAATCAAGGTGAAGATACTAGTCTGAGCAAATCAACATATAATAACAGTTGTTTAGCAAAAATGGTTAATTGCAAGACTATAATCTATTCAGATTAATATCCCCATCTTGATTATTACACTCACAATGTTTCTGACATTGTAACTGCCAGACTTCTACAGGTACTTGTCAAACCAAACAAATCAATTCATGAAGGTAGATTGTTCTTCTTCTGATATCCCCATGAGGAAATATCATCTTTTTTGCTTTAATCATTTCACCCCAAGTAAGGTGATAATGCCACTAAGATGCAAGGGGGTTACTGGAAGTGAAAGAGAATGAGAACACTTTAATGAGGAGAAAGGACAATAAAAGAACAAGTTTCAAAAAGTCAGAAGATTGCAACTAACATTGCATTTAAATTTTTGAATATTGTAAGTGGAAGGGATGTAAGAAACCAGAAACTATTAGAATAGAACTTAAGGTTACATCTCAGCTAATTCAACAGTAAAATGATAAGACCTAGTTACCAATCTAGTAGTATGCTTAAATTCAAGCTCACTAGAACTACCATGAAAATATTTATAGTAAATAAGAAGGAAACCATGTCAAGGCAGTAGGAAAGTGACTGAAGTTGAGATGCCAAGTCAGGACCAATAATATTAGAGACCTTCTTTGGATTTTGTCAAGAATCTTGAGATATATAGCAGGAGCAGCAGACCAGATATGACAGCAATATTCAATTTATGCATGAATAGTAGAATCATAAATGTTTAAGATAGATTCTGACAAGAAAAATTGTCTGGCACAACACAGTGAACCAAATTTTATAGCAGCAGACCTAACAACTGATTCAATATAATTGTTCCACTTCCTGTCAGTAGAAAAGGAGTCCAAGAAGGCACAATGAGTTACTCTCCTGGAGGTTAGCATCAGCCATGATGATGGAAGGCAAAAAGGTTCTCTATGGTGATTAAAAGATAGCAGTTTTACCTTGAAGGTGTTAAAATTTACAAGCCATTCCTCACCCCAGTTAACAACTGATTGGAGGTCATTTTCAAGAGTAGTTACCAATTTTACTTTGGTGGACCTATTGGAATTAAGGCAGAAGTAAATAGTTGTGTCATCTGCATAAATACCTAGTTGGGAACTGATGACATTGGGAAGTTAAGAAATAACATAGGTCCAAGGATAGTGCCCTGGTGGATCCCCAAATTAATGTGAAATGATCTAGAGGAGTGGCCATTTAAAATAACATTCATCTCATAAATATATTTCTAGTTAATTTATCCATTTTTCCAACAAGATAAAACTGTTTTAAGACAACACAACATTGAGCCTGGACAAGAATAAAATCTTAAAAGACCTGGACAAGACTTACAATCAGGAATTTGAAAGGGTCAAGTTATATCCCATAAAGAAACTACACAGGCTGAATAATGACAGTATGAAATAAGTTCAACATTAACCTGGGAAAAGTAGTTGTTAGGATCAGCAAATGCCAGTTATGATTCCTCTGAGTATGACCTTAATTTTACAGCAACCAGTGAGTTAACAAACTTGAATGTGATGTCAGCCATAAGAAACAGGCAAACAAGAGGAAAACACTAAAGAGAGCATAGGCATACAAATATGAAAAGAAAGAAAATCCAGAAAATTGAAACCAAATAAAGCAAGGGCAGACAAAAAAGAATAAAAAAAAACACTGGAAAACCAATTTAGGAGCAGTGATTGGTACAAGCTAGAGATCTGAATCTGAGAAACTGGCAAATACCTGGCACGAGAAAAAGAAAGATTTTGAAAAAGACTACTTGTGAACAGTAAATGGTTTAGACTAAAAATATGAATATGAGAAACTGGTAAGTACTTGGCATAAAAAAAAGAAAGATTTAAAAATGCTACTTGTGGACTGTAGATAGTGCAATCTAAATGGGGTTGTGAGACTGAAAAATTGTCAGGCCAACTTTGGAAAAGCAAATGCTGCAACCTAAAAGAACTGAAAGTAAAAGATTGGCAAGTCTGCTTAGATTAGTTGTGAACAGTAGACGGTATAAGCTAAAGATCTGAATTGGCAAAAGGAAAAGAAAGGTTTCAAGAGTCTAGTTGTGAACAGTAGATGGTGCAGGCTAAAGGCAGATGTAAACCTGAAATATTGTCAAATTAGGTAAAGCAACTGCTGCAACATAAAAGGTTTGAAAGTGAAAAATTGAAAAGTTAGAAACTACTACAACCTAAAGAACTATCTAAATATGAATGATTTACAAGATTAATTGAGTACAATATCTGGAAATTGGAAAAATAAGTTAGGAAAACACAAGTTAGAAACTGAACTGAAAAAAATTGGCAAGTCTATTTGGGAAAAGTAGCTGATAAAAACATAAAAAAGATCTTAACCTAAAAAATTTAGACGTCTATTTTGGGGTAGTACACACCAGAAATGAAAAGATTAGCAAACTGATTTGGGAACAGAACCTGCTAAAAACCAAATGAAAATCTGGACCTGAAAAAATGTTAAACTAAATTGGAGACAGTAACTGATTCAAACTAAAATATCTGCAAATCAGTAAAATTAGCCAGCCTACAAGCTATTACAATTTTTCTG